TTAAGTAATTAATTTTTTTCCCAGCCAAATAACGTCAGTAAGCCGAAAAAACTTCAGGACATATACTTCGAAGTGTCCTCTACAAACCGGGAACGCTAGAGAAAAATCTAAATGGGGACCCCCCTTAAAGCACCCACGATTGTGGGTAATCTTTGATGCTGATCACGGATTTGGTATTCATTTCTGCTGCTAGGCCTTTCTGGAGTGGATCTCTGGAATCCGGGTGTCCGAAGACCCGCTATGAACTTTGCACATATTTTGGCGTTGCCAGATTGTAAAGCACGTTGAATTACCTATGTGGGAGAACGTTCAAAACCAATAAACAACTTTTCGCAGAGATAGAAAAAATTTTACCTTATAATCCAGTCGGGAACCAATATACGTCAAGTTTTTGAACCCTAAATTTTTTCTATCTCTGCGAAAACTTGTTCGTGGGTTCCGAACGTTATCCCACATAGGTAATTCAACGTGCTTTACAATCTGACAGTACCAAAATATGTTCAGCTGGAAGTTCATAGCCTGTCTTAGGACATCCGGATTCCAGAGATCCACGCCAGAAAGGCCTAGCAGCAGAAATGAATATCAGATCCGTGATCAGCATCAAAGATTACCCACAATCGTGAGTGTTTTAAGAAAAAAAGCGATTGGACACTTGGGGAGATCCTCTCGTCAGATATTTTATAAGAACTCCATGAATAGATTTCTCGAGATTTTTTAAATGTAGCTAACTCTGGACAATAAGAATTGAAGAAGTTGTTAAGAGAATGCCGAAAGTGTCATTTACACTGTAACACGGATTGGTTGATACAGAAGATTTTGTTCGGAAAAACGTTTCTCGATTAACTAAACAAAATGTTAATAAGAGCTCTGAAAATCAGTATTTACAATTTTTAGATTAAAATTTTCACAAGCATTGGGAGACGCTCTCTCACACTACGCCGTGTAATTCGACTTTCGACTGTTTTACTCCTACCTTGGCAACTTATTAGTGTGTCGGCCAAATGTGAATCATGAACAACTACCGCTACATGATCTTTTGATAGCCATACATCTAATTCAATCGCTTGAGCTCCTTGGCATTTTGATGCCCATTTATAAGCAGCCAATGTATTTTCAGGAAAATCTGAATCGTCAATAACACTGTCTAGTAACAACGGTCGTCCACCCCTATGTGCAATTATTATATTGTCAAATTTCAAATGACCTTGTGCGCATGGTAATCGTAAATAATTGTATAAAATCCATAGAGAAATCGGTGGTAATACAATGAAGCTTACTACGATAATCGGCTTAAGCACCAAAAATAGAGGAGATAGAAGAAGAAAAAATGTACCAATATTAATAGCTTGAGACGTAATCGTGTCCTGCTGAAGCATACTTTTTCACATAGAAGACATGCACATACACACGTACACACTCATCAAAAAAACAAGAATAAGAGAAAAAAAAACAAGCGCTTACTGCTGCCTAGAAAGTCATAAAAACAAGACATAAACGTTTTAAAAGTTTTTCTCTCCATGTTTACTTGAGATGGCAATAAAAGGTGCACCAAAGTAAATGAGTACAGACGAAAAAAGAATTAACACTGTACCATATGCCGCAAAAGACATTTTCTTCTGATTTAAAGCGCTACTAGCTTACTGCATTAGCGTAACGGAGAAGATGTTAATGTTATGACGTACTAAACGATTGTGTTCACTCAAATTCTAGTAGAAACTAGTTCGCTCACAATTGTCAAGAAAATAAATAGTTTCAAATACCTTACTTTTTAAAAGAAAATCACTAAAACGAAGTACACGAGGTACAAAATAACGCATATTTTGGAAAATGGAACTAATTATATGTGACTATTGAAGACGAAAACTGTTTATTGAATGAGAGATATTGCCCGCTTGGCACTCTTTTTATCTGAATTGATTTTGCAAGAAAATCAGTTGATATTTTCTTTGATATAAGGATATCCTGCCTGTTCCTTGAAC